GAACAAATAATAGATAAGTTCATGATATTACACGATCGGGCAGGATTTTAGGTGCCAATTACTCTTCATCATTTTCAAAATATATTAACCATCATCAAAGGAGCCGCACGAGACGCGAATATAAACTAACGCGATGTATCGGGAGCTCGATGAGTTTATCGCGAGCCCCCCTATTCGAGATAAATGACTTATATCTGAAAACGTCATAAGAAAGTCCTCCCCGGTCCCCAGTAGCGTGAAGGAAACCATTTTACAAGTATCGAAATCTGCCATCGCGCTCGCGTGTTACGACCGGTGGAGAATTGATGCGCTGTCGTCACGTGAAATCAGGTTCCTTACCGTACCGGAGTACGTGAGAGTACGTGTGAACTTTGGCTGTCAAGTGCGAATACAAATGGAATACGCGATTCGGCCGCGGCGAGTGTGTGCTCGCGAGAAACGCGCGGCGAATCGACAATCGTGCGCGGCTCGTCCGCATCGTGCATAATCGATAGTGACACCTGTCACTGTCATATTCGACGGACGATATTATCAGCCCGAGCATTGCACGTGGCAAATCCTAGACTGGACATTAGGATCGTTGTCGCTCGGCCGAGGAACGAGCTCGCGGACATAGTCGAATATGATATTTCCACTATTTCAAATTTATCTCCGATCTCCACAATTGCATCCGAGCATTATCAGATCGTCGGAGGCGACACTGCAGAAATAATCGACGGTATTTGCAAACGTCGTTGGCTGTAATAACAAAATTTCAGTCGAATTAATCTCATATCTTGGACGGATGACACATCTAGATGCTCCGACGTTTCTTTCGTCGACATTATTTTTTCTTCTTTTTTTTTTTTTTTTTTTTTTTTTTTTTTTATTTTTATTTAAAACAGCAATTCCAACTCAATTTTCGGTGAAGTAAGACAGATAGGTTTCTTCATGACGCAATAAAAAGGTTTATTAGCGTCGTAACCTTGTTCAAGTTTCGACCGTAACATTTCCCTGGACGGATATTTTAGAACAACGCCGTCCAGTATGCCAAATTTGAATATTTCATTTGCGGAGAACTTGTTTTCTCAGCGAAACATTCCACCCTTCGTCGTACATTTTATATTCGCGGTTTGTCCTAACACGTCATTCAATACAAAAGATACATATTTACACAAAGACGCGCCCATATAACTTTGGTGATAATGAGGATTACGAGAATTTACAGTATTTGAGTTTCTTTTAAGAAAAAAATTTATTTATTAATTTTGCCCGTTGATAATGCGCGCGATAACGTTTTATCAAATCGATAATTTCGTCAGACCGGAGTCTACGAAGTTAACACCGAATTGCATATGCGAGGATACGTTTACGAGGTGCTTCCTGCAGTCGTCATTTCGATTATACGATAGCGTTTATCGCGCCTGGATCGCACACGAGCTGAACACGAACGAAGTTACGGATACTTACATCTGACGTTACATCTGATTTATATTTGAGCGCAAAGTAGTATCTTTTAGTGAAGAAAAGAAGTAATCGATATCGAGCGATTGTCTCGTATTGTCGAAAAGATTTTGCATCGGCCATTCTTTATCCTTTTGCAATCGTGAACTTTATCGACGTAAAAGAGAGATTTCTGGTAATTATGTTACAACTCACTCGAAAGTGCGCGAGAACTATACTCCTTTAATACACGCGTCAATGCCTGACTTGTTTCTGCTCGTACTACTTACGTTAAGTAGTAACGGGATGCCGCGAGTGAACACCGCTCGCCTCGCTTTTTCTTGCATTTCCTCTCCCTTCCACCTCCTTTTCCTTTTTCTTTCCACTCTTCTGGTTTTCGTTACTTCCCTTTAGTTTCATTATAAATGCGACACTATGTTGTATAATAACGTGGATGCGAAACATTTCCCCGATTATCTTTTCACGCTAACTGCGGAAAGACCAACATGCATGGCAAATGTTCTGAGCAGCAAATTTAACATCCCGTTTAAACAGAATGTGTCAGAATAGTTTATCTTTCCGGAAAAGCCGTCAGAATTTCTTTTAATTACGAGAAGCTGAATCTTAAAAAATAAATATAACGTAATATGAAAGAGCAACGTAGATACGTGTCATATATTAAGACATTTATAGACACCGAAATTTAATTAAATATAAATTCCACCTTTTTTGACGTCCTCTCGCTTATTTCAGTATTATTTCATCATTCATAGACATGTCACGCGTCATCATTTTAAAAGGGCATACATTACATTTTTTAATAACAATACAGTACAATTATATTATATTTCTCAATATGAAATATATACGGTTTCAG